CCGGGCTTTCGTGGTACATCTCCACACAGTCCTCTATGTTGTTAGGACCGCCATGATCTGGCTGCCCAGCCGTCCAAAATCTGAAAAACAGAACAATTAGGGAAGGTAAACTGTCATGTTGAACAATTTAAGAGGCCATTGCAACCAATGAAGTGGATTATTTAGAGGACACTTCCACAGCACAAATTCCTGCACAATTCAATTTTTGTTCGGTTTTAACTATATAGCAGATGACAGATCTCATCTCAAGTAACTCAAGTATCTCAAGTAATCCAAAATACAAATAATTCCTTTTAAACAAACATTTGGCAACCGGACAGATGTTTCAGTGTCGTCCAGCAGCTAAAGGAGCACAAGGCTTCCTGAAACATGAAATATCTGCTGGCAGTGTGCATTTCACTAATCAAAGTCTGACTAAAAGAAATACAGACAAGTGGAAGTAATTAATGTCTATAAATAATTTGCTGTTGAAACGTGAAGCAGCGGGACTCTATTATTGTAATAATTCTACTAGTGCTGTGAAAAATGTGCAGTTGTACTAAATTTGATTGCAGTTAATTACCCAATCTCAATGTTTACCGCCGTTATTTGAGGCCTAATAACTATTTGAGTACAACTTTAATTTGAACATTTACTACATGCATCCTTTTTGAATTCCAAAAACTGAAAATAGTGCAAAAAAATAAAAAAATACCACAGGGTTAGCACTTCTGTAAAAGGTTGTGCCTGATGTGGTAAAGATCACTACATAGTAAATTCAAGACTGCAGACATAAAATATGCAGCCAGGCTATCTATACTCTAATAAATTAATGTAAATACCAGTGTGATGTTTTGTTTTCTTTTTCTTCAAAATATGACCAAAATATAAACAAAACATTTTTACAGCCCACAAAGCAGTCTGGGAACTTAGTACTATTTTTTTATTATGATTTTTTTTTTTTTACATTAAGTTAAATAATTTTTCCTTGGTTTGTAAAATATATTTATCAGACTACCAGTTCTCATATATTGCTGTCATTGAGTAAATGCTCCCAATCCATGAGACAAGCAGCTTGACTTATCCTTTGTTGTTTTATGCATTCTTAAATGTTAAACGGATTTGGTAGATCTCAGCTGTTGATGAAACATATCAAATACACGTTGGAATTTATGGATTGTGTCTGTAATTCACAGTAGTGTTTACACATTTTCAAGGAAGAAAATGTTGTAATTTATAGGCAACAATACGTAACTGATGTTGATTGTAGTTGCAAAACTATATAAATACAGTATATTAAAGGAAATTAGTCACACTATTAATCAGCAAACCTCATGTTCTACTGTAGACCACCGTCACATGTTATACAGTAAATAAGAGTTTAGGTAGATTACAACAGCAGCAGCTCAGAAATACAGTAAAACACTGGCGACAGCACACTGTACACTGGTTACAGCGTGCATCACTTCTAAAGGTGGATCTGCTTAAATATTAGTTGCGTCTGTGATATAGAAAAATTCAGGGTTATTATTAAAGGCCTTACTGATCTTTCAGCGCAGATCCATCGACCCATCTGAAGACCCTATTTGTGCCTTTTAGACCAATCCAGAACAAGAGGTACATGTCCCTATCCAGACGATAGATGGCCCTCTGAAGAGATTAAAGTCACAGTTAATGTAAATATGATGCCAACAGCTAAAAGAAGAATCACACCAAAGCAGATGAACTGCACAGCACCTGCTCCTGCTGGCTGTTGATCACAACCAGGTCGGACCCGTTTCTCTGACAGTATTTCCTGCTGTCCTCCCATGTTTTCATCTCAGTGGAGAGAAAGTAACACTTGGATTGAATCTCCCTCCAGTCTGGAGGACATCGCTGAGAGGACGAAGTTCCGCTCAGGTCTGGGAGGTAAAACAATCACACATTAGGTATTTAGATGGTGAGTACAACGCCAAATCTGACAATGAACTCACTGCACAAAAAGTACAAATATTGTATTGCATCTATAAGAATAAAACTGAACCTGTATTCATACTATAACATCCATCCATCCATTATCTATACACCACTTAATCCTCACTAGGGTCATGGAGGGCTGGAGTCTGACTCAGGGTGAAGGCAGGAGACACCCTGGACAGGTCACCAGTCTATCACAGGGCTACACTTAGAGACAGACAACCAAGCACACTCACATTCA